CATGAACTTTTGCTTTGTTTGCAGTTTTGTACTCTTAATAACTAATGTCTCTAGTACTGTTTGTACAAATATTTATGAGAGTTTATATTTTCAAGTTTTGCTTTTTTAGTTGAAGGTCAAATAAAAATGTATTATATGTTTAAAACTGTCAGGTAGTAGCTTCTGAAAAAATACATCTCTTGATAGTTGATTTTAAAATAGGTAAGAAGGGCTTGTTAGGAGAATATAATTGTACCTACTGTAATTTTTGGTAGATGGGTGATATGATTGATGGTATTTATTGCTGTCACTTTAAATCAGAGTACGTCTGTGTAAAAATTTAGAAACAAAAAACTCAAATTAAAATTATGTAATGTTATTAAGCTGAAAAGGTTTCAAAGACCAAACTATATTTTGAACTTGATAAAGGCTAAATGCCAACTAAAAATACTGATACAGTTTGCAAAAGGAGTGTCAGTCTATTAGAATAGCTGTATTTAGTATATTTATTTGAAAATTATGTGTATATATTTATATATCTAAAATCTGTATTTTTATTTGTAGGATTTGCTGTCACAGATGCATCACTACAATGCTGGGGTTAAACAAAGTGCTCTTCTTGGACTTAAAGACCTTTTGTCTCAGTACCCATTTATAATTGATGCACACCTTTCAAACATATTAAATGAAGTGGCTGCTGTGTTTACAGATAAAGATGCTAATGTACGATTAGCAGCAGTTCAACTTCTTCAATTCCTGGCCCCCAAAATACGAGCTGAACAAATTTCTCCATTTTTTCCTTTGGTAAGTGCCCATCTCTCTAGTGCCATGACTCACATTACTGAAGGAATTCAGGAGGACTCTTTAAAAGTTTTGGACATTCTGCTGGAGCAGTACCCAACTCTAATTACTGGCCGTAGCAGTATATTGCTTAAGAATTTTGTAGAACTTATTTCTCATCAGCAGCTGTCCAAAGGACTGGTAAATAGAGACAGATCCCAGTCCTGGATACTTTCTGTAAATCCTAATCGGAGACTCACTTCTCAGCAATGGAGGCTAAAAGTCTTAGTGAGACTCAGTAAATTCCTTCAGGCCTTGGCAGATGGATCCAGTAGGTTGAGAGAAAGTGAAGGACTTCAGGAACAAAAAGAAAATCCCCATGCCACTAGCAACTTCATTTTTATCAACTGGAAGGAACATGCCAACGACCAGCAACACATCCAGGTTTATGAAAATGGGGGTTCACAGCCAAATGTCAGTTCACAGTTCAGGCTACGGTAAGGATTTCAGTTATGTCCACACTCAGTTTTCCTCTATTGAATTCTAACTACTGACCATTGATAGCTAATGGTGGGAAGACATGTAATTGTCTTTCATAGTTTTCATATTGATTTAATGACTCCTAATAGGAGTGATTTGAAATTAATATTTATTCATCTATCTATAGCAAAGCCTAATGAGAAATAAAACTATAATCTCTGTTGGCTTTGTCATTTTAGAATTTCATTTTTTTACTAGTCTTGATTGATGTAATTATCAGTTCATGGTGCTTTATTTTACTGGTACTTTATATTGGTTTAAATTAAAACAAGGGATAATATTTTTTAGTCATTATGTTTTTTTCATTCTTACATTTCCATATTAGGTATTTGGTTGGAGGACTAGGTGCTGTGGATGAAGGCCTGTCATCGCCTGAAAACCTGAAAGGATTTATTGAGATAATAATTCCATTGCTGATCGAATGCTGGATTGAAGCTGTGCCTCCACAGCTAGCTGCTTCTGTTGGAAATGGTATAGAGCGAGAACCTCTACAGGTTATGCAGCAAGTACTTAATATTATTTCTCTTTTGTGGAAACTCTCTAAACAACATGATGAAACACATAAATTGGTGAGCACTAATTTTATTTGATTAGTCATGCTTTTTATCGTAGATTAGAAATCAGCTTATTACTCGAAATATGTTTTCCAAAAAGTACTCAGGGTTTAATTATAAATGTTTTTCTTTTGCATAAAACCACAAATGAAAATAGCTTTGTGAGGTTTTTATCTGTGAATAGAATTTTAGTCAAATGCCTCATAATTTGTATGATTCTGTTTTTATTAGGTATAATTCACAATAGTGTTAAAGTCCTTATGACAGATTATTAGGAACATTCTAGTTTCTGGGATAGTCTTTTATAGGCATACAAAAGCTGCTTATTAAGTATCCCTTCTAGTTTGTGTCATATTGTCCAGTTGAGGAAAAAGAGAAGCTGAATAGCTCATAGTAAAAGTAATGTATGGCACATACTCTGCTTTTGCTGTGCAGCTAATGAACAACAAGCTGCGAGATTAAATTAGTGCTAAGTTGATACTATAGCACACTTACAGTGCTACGGGAGCTATCCTTTTAAAGTTTGAAGCATCTGGTCTACAGAGGAATTCTTAAAAGGACTTTTGATCAGGCAGGTGTGATTCTTTGAAGTTGTCTATGAACATATAAAACAGAGGTTTTAGTCTTTTTATTTGAGGCTAAAGTTTAGGATGAACCTAGTATGTTGCATAAAATAAACATAGGAATAAATTATGCAGTACTTGATAATTTTGAAAAGCTTTATAGAATTGTACTAAGGTGTGTGTGTGTTAATAGCTTGTTCTATCACTGCTAGCAATTACATTATCTGATGGCTTTGAATTACTTTTTCAAGAAGCATGGCACACTACAAAAGTATTAATAAAAATTTTAAAACACTAAATACAAAACAAAGAAGATGGCATTTTTTTGATTACAATTTTGGGGCCTTGGTGTCTTATGAATTGATTATACACATTGGCAGAAAAAGTCATGGTTATCCATATGGTGTTATATTAAGAAAACAGCATGGCTGTTAATTTCTGATGAGGGTAGTAAAAATAATATATAGAGCTTTTTAGAAATGTAAATCTTACCTGGAAACTTGAATGGGAAAACAGTCCCTGACTTAAGATTGTTTGACTTAAAATCTTTCTACTTTAGAATGGTGCAAAAACTGCTTAACCATATAACCATTCTGGTTTTTAAGTACAGTATTGAATAAGTTACACAAAACACTCAACATTTTGTTATAAAATAGGCTTTGTGTCAGAACATTGCCAAACTATAGACTAGTGTACATATTCTGAGCACAATTGAGTTAGCCTACGGTTAGCTATGATGTTTGGTAGGTGTATTAAATGCATTTTTGAGTTACCGTATTTGCCACTTAAAAGTAGATTTATCAGAATGGGACACTGTTAAGTTGAAGCATCTATGACAAACTAAGCAGAAGTAAAAGTAATGATAATTAACATGACTTTGAAAATTACTTTTTATTTTGAGAGTGGAGGAAAATTCAAGTGCTTTGTTGTTTAGTCATATATGGATACTAACAAGCTTTCTTATGGTTTCAGTTAGTATTGTTTTTATTTAGAACAGTACAATTGAAGTACAAAATCTGAAGATTTATTAAATATTCTGATTCATCTGCTGTCATTTGATAATATTGACACGTCTAAATATTGCTTTAATTTTATGGATATGTAAAATAGTATGCTTCGGAACTTTATTATAGCAGCACTATGATGATTAGTACTTCATTAACGTGCATTGTGAAGTTTAATACTAGAAATTGACCAGAAGCTGAGATACCTTATAAAACTGAAATGAAGGGGGTGGTTAATTAATTTAGGAGGTGTATATATATTTTTGCAAACATATATTTTATATGGCTAGGGATCACCCTGGGATCTTGCTCTATGCTAGGCAAACATGTCATCACTGAAAATGTTCCCCAGCCTAGGAACAATATTTAAAAGCTTCCATTAGTAGAATTCTCTTATTTGCCTTAGTGGATTTGTTATGCTGAACTGTAATAACTTTATAAGAGCTATTATCTTTGAGACAAAGTATGAACATGTATGTTAGCCATGCATAGTGGGATTAAAAGGCATTTTAGTTTGTTTTCTTATGCTTATTGTTTGCGTCTCATTCACTTTTATTTGTAGGTTAATAGTTAAGATATTGGATGATCTTTATTACATCTTAATCTTTAGGAGGAATAAGATGGTGTTCCTTAGCTTTTATACACAAATGAAAATACAGGCCACAAAGTGAATTAAAACTTTTTTCTCTCACAAAGTGTATAGATTTTTTTATTGGCATATGGATTAAGTATAGCATTAGGCATACTGACTGCTTGATTTTAAGTGTTGGTGCTGTTTAATATATTTAATTTACTAGTATTTGCAGTATAAAAATTTTTGTAGAGGTAGCTCAGTGGCATAAGCACCTGCATGGCATTTGTAAGATCTTGAGTTCAATTCCGGGTACCAAAAAAAAGTTGACATAAAAAACTCCGTTAGTATGCACATGTTTTTAACCTTTTTCAGAGTTTGAAATTTTGATCTTTTCTTTGGAAAGGACTCTCAAGGTAACTTTAAGTCATAACTGTGGTTATTGTGTACTCTGATTTTTATTTCTGATATGCTCTGTATATCCTTAATGTGTAGCTCATTTTGAGAATGAAGATAGAATTTAGCATTTTAAAATTTGCTTTGGTTTTTAGGGGCTTGTATTAATAGTGTCAGGGTCAATATTTTTAAAAAGTATTTTATGTCTTAGGTTTGTATTTTGATGGTTGACTGACTTGAAATTTGTTTTTAATACATTCTGTTGCTATTGATCCTTTTCTCATGATAATTAGAATTGGTAACCAGTCAGATGCAGTCATGCCTTTTTAAGCATTTACCTGTATTTGGTACCTGTAAGTAGGTCTACTTAGGTTAATTAAAATTTAAACTTAAATTTCTCAGTTATACTAACTGCATTTCAAGTGCACAGTAGCTATAGGTAGTAACTTCTACATTGGATAGCACAGATTCACAATAGTTCCATCGTGCAGAAGGATCTTGGAATAGTGCTTTTCCAGGTTTTGAGGATGCAAAGTTAATGATTATTTGTTTACCTTTTGATGCAGTTTACAGATAGTAAAAGTATATAATAACAATACTAGAAGTAAAGAATGTA